AATACACTGATGAATGGATACTCCAGCATTAATCTTTTTTGATGAAACCAAGACCTATTCTTTAATAGGAGTCTTTGTATTCGTTGGGGTTCTTCAGAGAAACTGAACAGGAGATAGACACACATGTGCGTGCACACACACACATGCACACACATACACACAGAAGTATATGGAGATTTATTATGAATAATTGGTGCACATGATTATCGGAGCTAAGAAGTCCTACAGTCTGATCTGCCAACTGTAACTGGGGACCCAGAAGGTCTGCTGCTATAATTCCTACTCCAAGAGCAGGGAAAAGACCGATGGATGTCCCAGCACAGTCAATCAGGAAGAAAAATGAGTGAATTCCTCCTCCTTGCACCTTTTATTCTATTCAAGCCCCTAGCAGATTAGATCAAGCTCATCCTCAATGTAAAAGGCAGTCAACTTCACTGAGTACACAATTCCAAATGCTCATCTCACCCGAAACACCCTCATGGACACACCCAGAAATACTGTTTAAATTTTTACCCTGTGGTGCAGTAAAGTTGGCACATAAAATTAGCTAGCACAGTCTGCTAATTGAAGTTTCAACTCTACTTATGTGACCATCTTCAGTCTAGAATTAGTTAGACATTCATTTGAGTTGGACCATTATCCATAGGAATTTGGGTTCCAGGAAATACAAGAACTGAAAAAAAATTTTTTTTTAATTTAAACCATAGTCATGTGTATGCCTCAAAATAGTACTTTACATTTTTTCCTAAATATTCTAGAAATTAAAGTTTAACAAACATGAACCATTTGTTTTTAATATTATACTTCTGATGAATGACTTGGTAAAATACAAAAGAAGGAAATGTATTTTTAAGAGAGAAATTTGTATCATTTTCCCCCTAAAAATTCCTATGTATGAAAATATCTTAATCTTAGTAAAAGTCCATTAGCCCTTATTAACTCTGGCACAAGAAAAACTATCAATTCGAGTTAGAGAAACAGTTACTTAATCATCTTAACCTTTGAAATTTTTCTTTATATTTCCCTGAATTACATATATATATATATGTATAGTTTCCTTGGCTGAAATATGTTCATTGTAATATTACCAGTATTGTATTTTTAAAGGGAGTTTTAAATGGTTATTGTTTTCTAGCTCATGAATATCTTTGAATATAAGATAAAAAATCTGTGAGCCTTCTCCAAAGTAATAGCTTATATCTAAACAGCTTGGCTTATATTTCTGGGTCTCCACAGGCCTCTGAAACAAACCCATATACCCTAAGGATATACAAAGTACAGAACCTCTTGTTAACGAGCCGTACCTTTCTCCCTTTAGGGTGGCTGATACTGGAAGAACTATGGAACACTGGAGTGTTTTCCTTTGCTCTCGGATAGTTAAGATTGCCACATACATTCTTAGAGTTCTGGGTTTAGCTGTAGTGTTTAGTCTAGTGTGGAGGCAGAGGTTGGGCAAATATACACTACTCTAAATACTTTCTTGTGCTATAGCCATTAAGTGTGTTCTAGTTTAAACAGTTGTCAGTGATTAGCGATTCTGATGTTCTGTTTGAAGATTTTTTTAGTGGTCTAGATGAACATGAAAAAAGCCAAAAGTTCGTTTCAAGTTGAGCAGATAGTAGGAGCTGATATTTCCTGTGGTTTGGTTTGGTTGCGTGCCTTAGGTTGGTTTACTAGTCCGTGACTTTCTGAGTTGCTCTATCTTGTGTTAACTTGTATCACATACAATCTCCATGTTGATGTCTGTTTATTCTTGCCTGGATGATCTATTCCATTCAGATATCTAGAACACTCAGAGGCTGTCTGGAGGGAATCCCACCTGTAGGTTACAGAAGGGTAACTGTCTGATACCCAATTGTCCTTTTTCTCCGGATTAAAAAGAAATCTTTTGTGGTGTTTCTAGCTTCTTGGAAAAATAAATGATATATGAAATGTTTGCAGCAGCAGGAGTTTGTCCTGCCCTTAAAGATTCCGTGGACACATTTCCTGGTCGAGCTTGCTATTGCTCTGTCTCATCCACTTTCCATCTCTCCTCCCACCCCAAATAACTTGTCTGGGCATTCCTCTCCCAGCCTTTTTCACAGCGTATTGGGTTGTTTGTTTCTCTCGCCAAACATACCTAATTTGGAGTACCTGGGACTGAGGAGTGGCCTGTTGTCACTTAAAATTTTTTCTTTAATTTTTTTGAGACGGAGTTTTGCCCTCGTTGCCCAGGCTATAGTACAAGTGCAATGGCGCGATCTCAGCTCACTGCAACCTCCACCTCCCAGGTTCAAACGATTCCCCTGCCTCAGCCTCCCAAGTAGCTGGGATTACAGGCATGCAACACCATGCCCAGCTAATTTGGTGTTTTTTCAGTAGAGACAGAGTTTCACCATGTTGGTCAGGCTGGTCTCGAACTCCTGACCTCAAAGGATCCACCGCCTTGGCTTCGCAAAGTGCTGGGATTACAGGTGTGAGCCACTGCACCTGGCTGACACTTAAAATTTAATTACTTTGTAGAGGTGTAATAAATATTTGTGGACTGAATGAATCACATGATCTGAGTGATAGGAAATGTGTGAATGGAATCCTACACATTTGGAGGTCATCATATTTTGCCAACTTTATCTTGTATCTTACCTATTTTATGAGGTTGTGTCTTGTCTCCACAATTACATGTGACCTCGATGTGGGATCAGGATTGTCATTGATGTCTTCCCTTCATTCCCAGTGTAGTGAGTGATAAAGTAGAATGACTTTTGTTTGCCTTAGTACATTCTTTAGTGAAAAGTAATGATTAAATAGTTTTGGGTGGAGGTAACATGAAGAGATCTTTTTAGAAAACTTTGTGCTGGGTGCAGTAGGATACCAAAGCTTGGGCTGGGGGAAGATATAGTAGGAGGTGGTCTCTGCCAGGAGAAAGAATCCCCCCTCTAGGAAGCCATGTTCCTGACTAGCAGTTGCCAAGGTGTTCTGTGTCCTGCCATAGGCAACGGTCCCTTCAAGCCCAGTTTCTGCAAAGTTGTTCTGTTACATAAAGATGAAATTATAAATACACTGGGATATCTTTCAACTAAAATTAAGTCTATATATTAAAATTCACATTATATGTATTCCACAAGCAAATGTCCTGAATTCTTGGTCTATGTGAAGTTTGATTATTGCAATTTTGCGGAATAATTAAGGAAGAGAAGATATAGTAATATAAAGGAAATATAAAGGACTCAAGCATAAGACACAAAGATGTCTAATGTTCCCCATGTGCGGACTGTTGGATCATTCCATTTGCGTTTGTAATATGGGAATACAGCTGAAGAAAAAGATGCAATGACATGACCTCATGATTATTGGAGAGAGTTTTTTCTCTTGTTTACTGATATGTCTGCTATCATTGGAGACCAATGTGTAATAATATTTTCTGCAGGTGTTGACTATAAGTATATTCCCGTATAATAAAAATTTGTTGAACATAGGATGTCATCTTTCAGATTTTTTGGAAAAATTAAATAATATATAAAAGAATATTGATGATAGTGAGATTAAAAAACTCACGTACCCACATCCACGATTTTAGATAGAGAGTGTCACTAATAGTTTTGAAGGCTCTCATGTTATCCTTCCCCAAGCTACCCCAATTCGGAGCAGAGAAACCCCAAAGGGAAGCTTAGCCCACTGAGTGCTTTGCTTTGCCCGGAAGAGAATTCAAAGGCAAGCCAGAGGCAGAGAGTAACAGTTCAGGGGAGTTTTGCAGTCATATTTACACCCACTTTTAATTGCATGTAGATTAAGGGGCTGTTTGTGCAGAAATCTCTAAGGGAGGGGTAGTAATCATTGGATCACTGCCATGGAGAGGGGTGGTAACACCTGGGTGTTGCCATGGCAATGGTAAATTGACGTGGCATGCTGCTGGGCATGTCTGATTGAAAGCTTCTTTCACCTGGGCCCTATTATAGCTAGTCCTCAATCTGGTTGGGTTTCCGAGACCCACTTCCTACCTCAACCCCCTCTATCAGTTTATCATTATGCTGAATTTGGTGTTTCCCACTCCTTTCCCGTTCACGGTACTATGTCTTACCACCTGTTTTTATATTCTGCGTGATAGACTGCTTAGTTTTTGTGTGTTCAAACCATTATTTGGGTAGAATAATTAAGGCATTCTTTTGGGACTTGCTTTTTTGGCTCAACATTAAATGTGTAAAATTCATTCTTGTTGATTTGTGTTATAGTAATGTATTTTTACCAATATGTGGTCTTCCAGTAGGGGATGTGGCAGTTGATCTGTTCTCTGTCCATGGGCATTTGAGGTATTGCAAATGATCCCACTCTGGAAGCATTTATCCAGGTCTCCTGATCCATGTGTGCAAGTTTCTCTTGGGTGTATTAATAAGCAGTGGAATTGTTGGTTGATAATGTATGTGTATCTTTGCTTTCACTGGGCAGTTTTTAAAGTGATTGCTTTCATTTACACACACACCATCACAGCAGGAGAGTTTTCACTCCACCATCACTTACCTTGAATGCTTTTCATATATTTATTAATCTTTGTTTTCTTCTGTGAAATGGCAGTGCATGGTTTTGGACTTTTTTTAAATTGTATTTTTCTATAAATGTACAGGAGGACTTTCTATGTTTTGTGTAACATTGTTGTTGGTTATTTGTATTGCTGAAAGGGTTTAATTTATAACTGCTCTTGTCAGATTTGTATAGCAGTCTTAATAGCAATCACGTCCAATGTATCCTTCTTTTCTGTTATTATTCGTGCTTTTGGGCTCTTGTTTAAGAAATTCTTTCCTGGTCAGGTGTGGTGGCTCATTCCTGTAATCCCAGTACTTTGGGAGGCCAAGGCAGGAGGACTGCTTGAGCCCAGGAGCTTGAAATTAGCCCAGACAATGTAGCGAGACCTTGTGACTACAAATAACTGAAATATTAGCTGGCCATGGTGGCAGACTCCTGTGGTCCCAGCTATTTGGGAGGCTGAGTTAGGAGGATTGCTTGAGTCCAGGAGGTCGAGGTTGCAGTGAGCTGAGATTGGGCCACTGTACTCCAGCTCAGACAACAGAGCAAGACCATGTCTCAAAACAAAAAGCAAAAAAGGAAATTCTTACCTTTACCTCATAAAGAATTATTTGATCTTTATTTCAAATAGTTTTAAAATTTTATCTTTCATCTTTAATTCCTTGATCTTTCTGGAACTGGTTTTTGTAAATGGAGTGAGATAGGAATCTGATTTCATGTAGTATACCTATCTGTTCCAGCGCTATTTTTTGAATAGCTTGTTATCTCCCCTGGTCTGAAATGCCTGCTCAGTCATACATCAATTTTCCACATATGGGTAGGTCTGTATTTGGCCTGCTATTCCTGTTTCAATGCCATAGTACCTTAATTGCTATAGTTTTACAATAAATATTGACATAGTTTGGACATATCAACCCACCATATTCTTCAGGACTAAACGGACTATTCTTGGACCTTTCTCCTCCATGTAAATTTTAGATACCAGGTATGAAGTTCAACAAAAAGAAAAATAACACAAACACACCTGCTGATATTTTGTTTGTGGTTGCGTTGAAGTCTGTAGATCAATTTGGAGGAAAATGCCTTTGTTATCATATGAAGCAATCTTATCCATAAGTAGGAAATATCTCTCCATTAATTTAGCTCTTGGATGTCTTAGAATATTTTCTGTAAAGATCATACTTATACTTTTAGATTTGTTTCTAGATACGTTAATTTTTTAGTTATTACATTCTTTCTCACCTTCTTTCTTTCCCTCTCTCTCTCAGGTTATAGTTTCTGTTTGCTGATATAGAGAAATTCAGTTGACTTTTGTCTGAAAATCTTTATATTTATCAGTCTTTCTAAAATTATTAAATGCTTATGAATTTTCCGGAGATTCTGGGTTTTCTATTAGACATAGGACAGTCACAGCACCTCAATAATGAAAATTCTATTTCTGATTAGGCACATTGTCTCACACCTGTAATACCAGCAATTTTGGAGGTCGAGCTGGGAGGATCACTTGAGGCCAGGAGTTGAAGACTAGCCTGAACAACATGGCGAGAACCTGTCTGTAAAACAAAATAAAAAATAAAATTCTGTTACTCCCTCTCCAGTCCTTTTAACTTTTCAATTATTTTTCATCTTACGATACTGGCTAGACTCTTCACCGTAACATTTGATTATTCTCGTCTTAGTGGTACTCTTTAAAAGCATGTATTTGATGTGGGTTTTCTCTAGATGTACTTTATGATGTTAAGGAAGTTTTCTATTTCTAGTTTGCTGTTTTTTTCTAAAAAATTGTGAGTTGATACTGAATTTTATCAAATGTGCCTTTTCTATATCTTTTAAGATGATCATATGATTTTTTTGTTGCATTTCTTACTGCGGCAAATTCTGTGAATAGATTTTCTACATGGAACTGTTTACTTGGGTAAACAACATTTTCGTGATGTTTTTAACATCACCTTTTTTAAACATGTCACTGGATTTGACTCTCAAAGATTTATGGGGAAGGTGGGGAACTTACTATATGTATAATCACAAGGAAACTCGCCTCTAATTTTCCTTCTTATCCTTTCCTCAAGTGGTTTGACTACCGTGAAGTTTCTCTTTGTTTTGATCTCTTTTCTTGGGAAGAGTTTATGGTCTGATAATTTCTTCCTCGAGTATTTTCTATAACTCACTGGGAAAATTCCTAAATATCCTATGGTTTTTGTACTTTGGGAAGATTAAACTAATGATTCAGAGTCTTTAACAGAACACTTGAGGGCTTTTATGCTCTTCTCATGCCAGTTTTAGCATTATAGCTTTCTAGTTCCTTTTTTTATTTTATCTAGATTTTCAGAATTTTAAGCATAAATTTATCATCTCATTTCCTTATTAATCTCTGTGCTATCTACATCTTTTTCATCTCTCAGTTTTTACTTGATAAATCTCAGTAGATATTTTTAATTAATATTTTCAGAGAATAAAATGTAGTTCATAATTTTCTATTTCATTAACTTTTCTTCTTTTAAAATTTTGTTCTAATTTCTTTTTCATTTAAGTGTGGTACTTAGCTCATTATTTCTCAAAGTCTCTTCTGTTAATCACGCAAATTTTGTACATTTCTTTTTGACAGCCTGGTTTTCAAAGGTTGTAAAAAAGCATGGTGTTGTACACCTGCAGTCCCAGCTACTCAGGAGGCTGGGGTAGGAGGATCACTTGGGCCCAGGAGTTCAAGGCTGCAATGAGCTGTGATCATGCCACTGCACTCTACTCTGGGTGACAGAGCAAGACCCTTTCTCAAAAAATAAAACAAAAAAATGTCAAGTTAGCTCCATTGCCAGAATTCACAGATACATTAATGAGGTTTTATACCACATTATTTTATCTGAATTTTGGTATAATCTTCTATTTATTTTACAATTATTTACTTAACTAAGCAGAAAATCAAGAAGATGCTAAAAAAAAAAAAGGGGGGACATATTACTACAATGTCCCTACTAAGGAAAAAAACCTGTATTTTATAAGCAGAATAGGCCAAATGTCAACAGATATCAAGACTCCTAGAAAATAATGAGACATGTCTAAACACATAACCCTGTCTTCAGACCTCTAGTCACACACCGTATTTGCATTTCCGTATTTCCATGGAGCATGGAATGGGGAGGAAGAGAAGAGACATTTATTTTTATCATCTTTAATTAAAATTACATATCAGGAAATCTTTTTTGGAGTTGCAGGTTAACTGCTAAAGTTATCACCCACCTGTGTAATATAGGGAGACCCTGTCTCTACAAAAAATAAATAAATAAATAAAATTAAGGGGGTTATGGTGGTGGACACCTGTAGTCCTAGGTACTTGGGAGACTGAGGTGGGAGGATCCCTGGAGCCCAGGACGTTGAGGCAGCAGTGAGCCGTGATTGTGCCACTGCACTCCAGCCTGGGCAGCAGAGAGCAAGACCTTGTCTCAGTCAACCAATCAATCAGTAATAAAGTTATCTCATGTTCAATGTCTCAGCATAGGGCGGGTAGGAGGAAGTCTTCTGTCCTGTGATTTATATTGCTGAGATGCATTCCTAAAAAGAAACTGTTAAGAGGGGTAGATATAATTCTAACATGTAAATGTGTTGAAGGAAAGGTGAAAACACATATTACTTGATTCCTACTTATTCACATGAAAACCATTTTAATATTAGCATTTAGTGTCAACAATGGGATTAAGAAGATAATCTCTGTCATTTATATTTGGGTCTGGTCAGATGCTTTTGTGTTTCTATTTCTATTTGATGCCTCCTTTATCTGAGATTTTGTGTATTTTTTTTAATCTGGAGACAGGATCTTACTCTGTCACCCAGGCTGGGGTGTAGCAGCGTGATCATATAGTAGCTCGCTGCAATCTTAGCCTTCTGGGTTCAAGCAGACCTCTCGCCTCAGTCCCCTGGGTAGCTGAGATGCAGGCGTGTACCACTATGTCTGGCTAATTTTTAAATTTTTTTGTAGAGATGGGGTCTCGGAGTATTGCACAGCCTAGTCTCAAACTCCTGGGCAAGTGATCCTCCTGCCACGGCCTCCCAAAGTGCTGGGATTTTAGTCATGAGCCACCATTCCTAGCCTGTCTGAGATTTTATAATACTTAAAACAACCACACAGCGTTGGCTCATTTACCTGCTGCGTTCATTCACATTTGCATGTATGTGGGTCTAGAATGAGTATGCCTTTGTTTTTGTTTTTGTTTCTGAGACAGCATCTCACTCTGTCACCCAGGCTGGACTGCAGTGGCACGATCTCGGCTCACTACAACCTCAGCCTCTGGGGTTCAAGCCATTCTCTTGCCGCAGCCTCTCAAGTAGCTGGGACTACAGGTGCATGCCACCATGTCTGGATAATCTATTTTGTATTTTTAGTAGAGACGGGTTTTCACCATGTTAGCCAGGATGGTCTCGATCTCATGACCTCATGATCTGCCTACCTCAGCCTCCAAAAGTGCTGGGATGACAGGCATGAGCCATGGTGCCTGGCCCTGAATCTGCTTTTCTACTGATGCCTCAAGTAGGTCCCAAGCTTTTTTTTTTATAAATTTATTAAAATGTCTTGCCTTTTTCTATGGTTACTGCTTGTGAAAGCAAACATACTGAGTTTACATCTAGAATGAACTTCAGCAAAGTTAGTGAAAATGTCAACATAAACATAGGCTTAACCTCTGAAAATCTATGATATGAAAAATGAAGAGCCGATGAGGCTTTTTCCCTTTGTTTAAGAGCTTTATATATAAATTTTGCAATATTTTTCTCCTTAAAAAAGCCAAAATGAGGAAATTAACCAAGATGAAATGACCGTCCACTCATTTGATAAGTCAAGAAACAAAATTGATACACTCCAAAGTTATCTTGTTGATCCCATTGAACCTCGTTTCTAAGGATATGTATCTGTCATAAGACTATTATTTTTAAAGAAATATCAATTAATTTTAGAAATAGAGATGGTGATTCCAAGTCTTAGGAGGAAAAAAAAAGCTCTGTTTTAATTATCCAAAATGTCAAGCTACTCACTAAGATTTTTCCCTTGACTTGTTGCTAGCCTCGGTTAAAACAAATACCACATTTATTCTATTTGAAGTAAGATTTAAAATTTTAAATGTGACAACAAATCTGTCACCCAAAATCTTCTTCACACTCCTTGATAATCCTTCCCTCCTGCCCCTTCTGATATCCTGATCTGCTCATTATCTTGATTGTGGTAATGGTTTCACAGGTAATCACATAAGTTAAAACTTAACATAAATTGCGCTCTGAGGATGGATGGGTGTGGGCGAGTGTGGGGGAGTGTGTTCCTATACCTCAGTACTACTGTTAAAAACAAAAATATAAAAATACTTTTTTTTGTTTGTTTTTAGACAGATTCTTGCTCTGTCACCAGGCTAGAGTGCAATGGCACGATCTTGGCTCATTGCAACCTCTGCCTCCTGGTTTCAAGCAATTACCCTGCCTCAGCCTCCTGAGTAACTGGGACTACAGGCATGTGCCACTACGACCAGCTACTTTTCTGCATTATAGTAGAGATGG